CATTTTACCCACCTCGGAAGGATGGAAGGCTGCATCAACCTTGAGCCTGGTGAGATTTGAACTGCCGAACTGCAGCTAGCAGTCAGCTGAAGTAGCCTGCAGTGCTGCATTTAACCACTGCACCATATATGTAAAAAAAAAAAAGAAATTTAAATCAAATACTGTGTTGTCTAGATACAATTACTTTTAGGAAACCATAAAGTATTTACAATAGTATTCATCACAATGATATCAATTCAATGATAATGGCAGCAACCCATACCAACCATTAGCACCAATCCCTTCTGTTTTTATTATCTAACCATTGGTAAAGTAAGTCCCACTCAACTAATGCTCAAAGTTAACTTGGCATTAGATAAGAATCAATGGAGTTCATGGGAGGGGTGTGGGGTGTGGGGAGCTGGACTTGGGTCTCTTGTGGAAATACAATGACTCCAAATGATGACATGTTTAATCTCGCCTTTCAGCCCAGGTTGCTCTTCTCCTACATGTAACTTAGAATGATTGCAGAGGTAGGTTCCTACCAGTTTGGACTGGTTTGGACAAGTAGGTAGTAACTCGGCCGCCCCCACCCCCGAACCAGTTCTCTAGGCAGCATCATCTTATTTTTTTTAGTACTGCGCATGCGCGCACGCATGACCCTGAGCGAACCGGCAGTAGCAGCAGCTGGAACCCACCCCTGAATGATTGCTAAATGAATGGTTGTAAGAAAAGGACTACCTGTATATATCTACATCTATCCATGGTTCAGTGGTGGGATTCAGCCAGTCCGCACCTATCCGGGAGAACCGGTTGTTAATTTTCTAAGCAGTTCGGAGAACCGGTTATTGGAAGAAATCTCCTTTTGTTTTTTTCTCACTTTACAGGGCTAATTCTGTAGGGAAGGCAGGAAGGGAACATTCTGGTGTTGTTTCTAGCCTCATCTTCATTGTCCTGCTTACAGAAACTGCCTCTCCGGTTAACCCTTATTCCATTGTAACAGCTAAAGCGAAGCGCCCATCGATGTGCGTGACGTTGAGTTGGTCACGTCCACCCACTCTCTTGACCACTGAGCCACGCCTACCCAGCTGGTCCTTGGGGCAGAGAACTGGTTGTTAAATTATTTGAATCCCACCACTGCCATGGTTCTTGGGAAGAATGTGATGTGCATGAAGGCCAACACCAGCTAAAGAACTGGCAGCTGTGGTTCCATAGTATTGTGTACTAGTAATAGTAATCTGTAACCCCTGCAAGTTGCAAAAACAATTTCAATAAATGTGTGTTGATGACGGCCTCTCTCTCTCTCTCTTTAAAATCACAGAAATGGATACAAGTTCCTGTACTGTTCAGCCCGTGCTATTGGGATGGCAGATATGACTCGAGGTTACTTGCATTGGGTGAATGAGCGAGGAACGGTGTTACCACAAGGGCCTGTGCTATTGAGTCCCAGCAGTTTGTTCTCAGCTTTTCACAGGTATCACAGCATTTGGTTCTTGCAACGCTAGACCAGTTATATCCCAACCTTGGCCTTTCTAAGAGGTGTGGATATCAACTCCTAGAATACCAGTTCAGGAATTCTGACAGCTGAAGCTGACACCTCTTAAAAAGGGCCACGACTGAGAAACGCTACTGTGAACAAGGTGTAATTTTTTTCACACCTGAAATGATTCAGGGGTTAGACCTATTACACAATAAGATTAAGGTGTCAACAGTTACATACTGTTGCAAAGGTATCATATACATGTAGTGACCCCACAAAACGTAGCAGTAAATATATATTATTGTTCAGTAATGCACGTTGTTGCATTCAGTATTTATGGATCAACAAGGTAATTATGTGATACTGATGAAAAAGCAGTAAGATTTAAGCTATTTCTGGCTTAAGAAATATACATGTATGGATTTGGGACCTGTAATCAGAATTCACCTTAGGCTTATGCCCCAAATTGTGTCTTAATAGGAAATGTTTAAAAGCAGAGTAATTTCCCCACCAAATGTATTTTTTATCTACTTGCTTCTTATTGAATAAAAATAAGCTAAAAGAAAAATGTTTGATCTTCATATTTCTAAAATACAGCAGATTGGAAACCTTTCCCTTTCTGATTTCATGATGTTGTCCATTGAGGAAGAAGGAAATCAGATCATGAAATAATTATAAGGCCAATATATTCATCAGTAAATTATACATATATTTGAAGACTGAAAGTTTATCCAAATGAACCACCGTTCCCACATTGCCAAAATCACCAGGCTTATAGCAATGCCTTTTTTGTTTACATAGAATAAGGCTTCCTGTTTAATTTTAAACAGCCCTATGGACCATAAAATACTTCTGAAAATCTTGAGAGATCATTAGTCGGAAGTCTTCATCAATTGAAACCGTTCACATTGCTGAAAGAAATATGCTGTGTACCATTTACACATAAAGCATCTAATACAGATGTTAATCTAATATCATCTAAACTCAATTTCATAGAGGGCCGCATCAAGGCTGTGGTTGGCCTCGGGGTGTGTGGGGGCGTGGCCAACTGGATGGGCATGGCCAGCTTGACATCACTCCCCAAACTGCTGGCATGTTTCCTCTTAGCACTGGGTAGACCGGGCTGAAGCTATGCTGGCCTGATGTTTCCTCTTTGTACTGGGTAGACTGGGCTGAAGCAACGTGGGCTGCCCCCTTACATTTTCCAGGACGACCCCGCCAGCTGGATCCGACCACGTTGTGGGCTGGATCTGGCCTGCCGGCCTTGCGTTTGACAACCCCGATCTAATATTTCACCTTATTTTATTTATTTTTACCTAAATTTATTTTCTTCTTTTATTTCAGGGAAGTGATAGAGAAGAAGCCAGAGAAATTTAAAGTTCAGTGTTTAACAGACATAAAACACTTATTTCATCCTAACACAGAACCTTTTTATGCTGCCTTTGGCAACAGGGCTGCTGTAAGTAATTTTTACATTGCTTGTAAAAAAATTTACATTGTTTGAAGAGCCGAGGTAGCGCAGTGGTTAAATGCAGCAC